ATTCACTAGTGCATCGCTGTATCGTTGCAGCACTACCCCTGCTGTGATACCTGTTGTTTCCTCATGGTCTTATCACATAGCTTATGTTTTTTCTTGTTTCTTTTAATAACATTTCAGGTCTCAGAAACAGCTGACAGATTTCTCTCACACTGGCTATCCTACAATAGTGAGAAGAGACAACTGTATGGCGTCCCGTCAGATAAAGATGATGGGACATACAACATCCTGGTGGTGGCCTTGACAAAGGACAGTGCAGTAAGAGGTCATGTTTGTGGATCACGATCCTTTTCCATCGTTGTTATGCCTGTAAGCAATGAACTGCCAGTTTCAGTTCATTTTGGTACTGGAGGTTCTAGGAGCTACCACAAGCCCTCTCATAGCTTATCCTGTGTGCCTGGTACCCAGGCAGTGCTGGGCACAGTTGTACTGAATGCCGACATGCAAAGCCTAAATGGCCATGAGCGAATGGTTTTATTGTCGAAAATGGCTGATCACCTTAGCATCCATACTAGTAAAGTTAGCTTCTTTCCTGGTGAAAGCTCCCATCCAGTGACTGAACAGCTTGATAACCCGGCCGTTATGGCAGCTGGTGTGGGAGATGGCAGATTCTCCAAGGGGTCTAGGAGTTTGCTGACGTGGAACATAGGGTGTGGTGCATTCAAGCTTGAAGATGCAGCTTTCTCAAGGCTTGAAACTGATGCTCAAGATGGAACCATAAGTACCCTGTTGGGTTTCCCAGTTGTGGGCTGGCATGTCATGTCTGGTGCGCAAAAGAATGTGGCTAGACGCAGAGTAAGGAGAGCAGCAGGGGGGATTGGATTCACACCTACCCCTACTCCCACAACAACTAGTGCCCCGCCCACTAGAATGTCAAATATATCCACATCAGTGGTCACGCTGAGAACTGTTACTTTAACATCGTCTGCAGTTAGTGTTAACTCAACTATTACATTACCGGTATCTACATCTGCAACATCGAGTGTCACACCAAACAGAACTATTGTCCAATCCACTGGTGTTAGTATTAACACAACAGTATTTGGTGGGTCACTA